GGGTCGTCTTAGGCTGACATGGAGGAGATCGTGTGAGGAGGAGACGAGAGATTATGGACAGTCGTGGACCCAGCTGAAGACGGCGGCAGAAAATAGAAGAAAGTGAAGATGTGTTGTTGAAACCCTTTGTTCCACTTGGGAACCAAGGAAATAATAATAATATGAAAATAATACAACATGGTCAGTTTCTCCAGTGAATCTGTCTAAGCACCTCATAGGGTTACTGAATCAGCTCCGCATGCATGCCTAGACATACGGCCAAGCAATCCAAAGTCAAAGGATTGTGAATGAAGTGGAATTTAGAAACATTCTTTGAAATCTATTTGAACGTCCACGATATCTCTTGCAAGAATTTACATATAGATGTTGAAATTTGCTGTAATTCGACACATAAATTAGCATCCTAGTAACCACTTGAGACTTGAAATCAGTTGAAAGAGTTCAACAAAGGCTGAAATACACCTTTTTGCCCCTGATTTTCCGATACTTTATCCTCACTACTGTTCTGGCTGTAAAAGCTACCAGAGGTGGTATCGCCGCCATCTTAGTAGTGGAACATGTTGTAACAACTTACCCTTCGACGTCCTCCTCAAATATGCACTTTATGCTTAAACCACTGGTTTATTGTTTGCGTTTAGGGGATGGGGGAAAATTAAAATTCGGATGATAATTAATTGGCCTTAAAGATGTGACCTAAAATTATGACTATTAAGGTACCAAAAGAAAGCAGTTCTCATTTTAGAACATCTATTAAAAATATCGTTTATCTTACAGTGAGTGAGTGCAAATTTGGAGTAAATAGTTTCTCCATTGTTCATTCGACTGGTTGCCACCCTGTTTTCCTAATTGGAATAAATGTTAGTGCGTACGAAAGAGTGACTATAACTTACTTGTTAGCTAATTTTATTCGGCTGTTGGTTTTCTGAGACAACCTAGACACAGAAATTCCTCTCTCGTCCGTGCAATAAGATAGATACACATTGGAAAGATCAATAGGCTGTAAAAAGAGGAAAATGAATCATAATAAATTTACAACCAGTGATTAGTACATTGCCTTTTTAAGAAACGTAGTAGTGGAAAACGTGTATGAATGTATTGAAAATGATTTTTTAAAAAGTATTTAGCAGTCATTAATCCCGGTGGGTGCGTACTGATGAAGAGTCCCAAACTAGGACGAAACAGCTGTCCAGTACTCCCAGGTTTTCCAATGGTTCTCTAACTAATGTCAGCTCATGATGAAATCGTGAAATTAATTAATTGTTTTGAGTAGATTGTTAAATAGTGCATAGAAGGTGGCCGCTGTAATTGTGGGCTACAATCTACTACACATTAACATTCATTGATGTTAAGCTGGTGCTTCGGTATAGTTCACCGATTTCCCGTACGTGTCACTAAAGCATTTCCAACAGCCTACTATAGTCTTTCATCAGAAGATGCCTACACTCAGTAGTGAGGACCAGATGGCTACTCACAATGGATAAGGGATAAGGAGCTCTGGCAGCAAACCAGTCAAAAGTGTATCGCCTAACTGAAGAAAATACCCATGGGTTGAATAAACTCTGAGGAGACATTAAAATAACAACAAACATCAGGGCCTCAAATGGAACGCGAATAGGAAGCATCGCGTTGAGGCCTGAGGGTAACATGAAGGAAACAATGTGAGTAGGAAATGTCACGTGGAAGTGGTAGTAGAGGGCAAAATGTTATGGATATGCACCTCTAAGGCCGTATATTTCGTCTGCAATACAAGGGAAGAATAATAATAATACATGTGGAATGACTGAATCATTAAAGTAAAGCAGTCAAACAACTAAGATTTATGAATGGTAGTCTGAAGCTGTTCTCAGTTGACCAGTTAGGTGACAAAACCATTCCTATGTTGTTTATTCTGACCTAAAACCGCTGTAAAGTTTACTAACGCTAACGTTACTGTATGTATTCTTTATATTAATTGTTTAGTCAGTAAATTACAAGACAGAAAGTTAATCGGCTCGTTAAGATAAAGAGTGAGATAAAAGTCTTTCAATTTCCTAAATGTTTGGTTTGTGACACAATTGTAATAAAGGCCACTTAGTTTTATGCAGTAAACAGTGATTCCGTACTGGATATGAAATACTGGACTCTAAAAATGAAAGCCGTGTGCAAGGTCACCGGGTTGGTTGCATGTGAGTACAGCTGAGTGGTTTTAAAGTAAGGCATAACATTTCCCCAGTGACTCCTACTTTACAATGATTTAATGGTAAATAATACTATGTTGCCATATTCCATATCTAATAAATTAATATATTATAAAATTGTATACCAAAGTAATCCAAGTTTCATTCTTCTGTGAAACATACGTACTATTGTTTATATTTTGTAGTTTCTTAAAAGATAAAATGTTTCTGCTCCAAAATAGCTATCGCTGATTGTTTAATAAAAGGGAAACTGATTATTTTGGCTAAAATGAAGTATGGCGACCCGAGCAAACGACCAATCAGTGATCTCAAACAAATCAGACATAGGTATTAGGATTATATGATACAAATTTGTGGGAAGAATTTATAGAGCGAATCCCTGACTGCTGTACAAGTGTATTAATTCCAATGATCCAATGTCTTGTCATACTCCGGAACAACTGTTCACATGGACCGATAGGTGGTTATGGACGGTTACTATCGATCCTTGCTATGCTCACAGAACTGTAAATCATTCTGATTTTGTCGATCTGTTGAAGAATTCTGGCTCATTTGGAAAACAGGATTCGAGTAATTAATAGGTCACGAGATGACATGACACGCAGTAATGTGCAGCAATTGGTTTGGACTGACATTGATAACTTCAATGACAAACTGGAGAACATCCCTAGAACACATGGGAGGTTGCCACCATGTATAACTATTTTTAACTGATCAATTAGTTTGCTATAAAATTTCCTATTCAAATAAAGCCTTTTTACTATTCCGGTAATGAGATAATCTGTTTGAGGTTATTTGGTTGGTTGTTCGCTTGGTCATTAGTTTCACACTTCAGAGAACAGTTGTAAATAGAACGATAAAAGTAGAAGACTTACCGGTTCCGGAGCTTTCTTTTCTGATTTTCGCATATTGTTTCCTGTGTACGCTACGCATTCCAGTTGCCACTCACCTATATCTTCATTCCATTGCACATTCTGCTGAATAAGGGCCTTGAATAAAATTAAAATCGTAAATTCCAACGAAATGGTGCTACAACACTTAATCAACCTCACTTTGTTTAGTATTTGCTCAAAGATTATTTAAAATCGTTTTTTGGCCATATGATTTTATCACAAGCTGACATCGATTGGAGAACCATTGGAAAACCTGGGAGTACTCTAGACAGTTGTTTCGTCCTAGTTTAGGATTTTTCAGCATTAACCACCCATCGATGATAGAACCCAGGTCTCAGTGGCTTAATGGTCTGCGAGCTCACCTTGTGACCACAGGGTCCTGGGTTCGAACCCCACTGGATGCGTACAGGTGTAAGACATGCTGGCTGCCTATTATCACCGATGATATTCTTAGTTGTGGTGACTGGATTATGCATCAGACTGTGAGGAGCAAGGAGTGAAGAATACGCTGGATGCCCAGTAAGGAGAATATGGTAGATATGGATGTCAACATAGCTGAACACTGCACGATCAATTCATGGTTGTTTGTTCAAACGAACGTTATATTTTTCGCGGGAGTCATCAATACGGCACTCACTGTCTCATCGTTCGCTGTTAAGTGGAAGACAGAAAACTATCAGAAGTGTTATTTTGATTTATTTTTATAACATTTATTCTTAGACCTTATGTAAAATAACCTTATTGTTGGTTACATATTGTCGTAAGAATAAAGGATTTTCGAGTCGCCAATCTGTGTTCTGGTTTTTCGCGTTGGTTATTTTACATTGTTCCTGAAAGTCTTTCAGGGACAGCGTGAGTTCTAGTGTAGTAAGAGCTGGACATTGACAGTTTCTGATAGTTTCTTTCCTCGTGTCTGCCCGTCTTATTTGGACAAGTGTTATCTGGGACTTTTCTTTATCTTTTGGTCAAGTTCAGTAATGCCTGGGTCAAATAAAGGACAAAGCGTCTTGGAAGCAGACAGGAAAGTAAGTAATGCTGAGTTGCCTGTTATCTGTAATGATGTGCGTGATGTTAGGCATGTTAGGATTAATGTCAATGTTTCGCCGTCTAGAATAATAGGAATAATAAGATTCCTGAATATGAACCTCGGTGTTTCGACGGAAACCCAGCTGACTATTTACAGTCTGTAAAGGAGTTTGAGATCATGTCGAGTGGTTTTTTATTAAATGATGAAATGAAGTTAATGTGTTTGATGAGGTATTGCACTGGAGTTGCTGCAAGAGCAATACAGTGCTGTAAGTTTATGCCTCCAAACGAAGGATATACTGAGGCTATGCGTATCCTGAGTCAAAGGTTTGGAAGACCTTCGATGATTGTAAG